TTTTAAGAATTAGAGTCCCATAAGTTGAAAATTTAGCATTAACAACAATAATCGGAGTTAAAGTTAGACCTCTAATCAAATGATTAACTCCATTAAACCCCGACAATTAACGCTTGTGTAGACAGAGGGCATTCAGTTGATAAAATGTAAATATGTTTTTACCACATGTTCTCCTCTCATGAAAAACTGACTCAGCGACTATTTCATAAAAGTTTGTCATTATTACTCCATGCCTGAATAATTATCCTAAGTTGAAATTTGCCAAAGACATCAAGGCCGTGTTTGTAAAACAATTTACTCAAATTAAAGTAATCCATACTCAAAATTTAACTTAACTTTAATTAAACCTCATACCCTCAATATTATCAATATAATTAAATAATAATAATAATAATAATAATAGCCAATCATTTTTATACAACGAACCCCCGTGAACTACACTAACGAACCCCCGTAAATTACATTGTACCATACATCTATTGAGAAAAATCATTTCTTGGTTCTTTCAATTGTACCTTATTTTTAAGTTATGACTTTCTGCAAAAAATTGATTTTGGCATTAATCAAAAATTATATTTATCTATGATATTTGTGATTCTTGAAATAGGTAACATGGAATTAATGTTTGAAGAGAAAGGGATAATTTTCTCATCTTAACTTTCCATATCTTAGTTATTCTCTTACTGTGTATTTGGAATTAATTATCTTCATTTAGCTTGTAGGTAAAGGAAAGATATTAGATTCATTAGGAGATTTTATATATATTCTCTTGCCTTAGTTATGATATTGGCTTACTATATGTTATGGTGTGTATTTAATTGTCTTGATTTACTTGTAGGAAGAGCAATTATGACAAAATGAATATATTCTTATGAGATTTGAGAGCTGAAATCTTGAGAGGAAGAAAGCTGGAAAATCGAGAAAGAAAATGAAAGAAATCGGGCAAGAAGAGATTTCTGAATGTTCGCATAGAAACAAGGAAAGAAAATTCACGAGATTGAAGAGGAAGAAGAGAGGCATGATGAAATCTGAAAGATTTGGGCAAGTTATTTGTGCATGAAGACTTACAAGGCTAGAGATTTAGTTTCCAAAACTGAACAAGAAAATCGAGAAAATTCAGAAACACCAGATTTCTGATGAACTTGCATACCGTATATAGTTGTGTATATATTAGTTTCACGAGTTCTGGTAGAGTACGAGCCTTTCCATTATTCTTTCAGAGAGCTTGAAGTTTTATTCATTTAGAGCTTGTGAGTATTTTTTAGAATTTATAGAGTGGTCGGACTCCAGCATGTTGATTCATCGCTGGTAATTTGAGCTGTCTATTTTGTTTTTCTACTTGGTGCTTGTAACAAGCATCTTCATACTGCTTGGAGGGATCCATACGTGAAACATAAGCCCACGCCGTGGCCAGAAAAGTAGTTAGGTATTTAGGGTAAAAAGTAGGTTAGCTAGAGGAAGTTTAGGCGAGTAAATTCTATTTGTACTTGTTGGCCAAACACATGCTTAATGAAAGACTTCTGAGATAAAGTGAGACGCTCTCTTGAAAATTCCTTTTTGTATCTATTCGTTTCCGCAAATTTACATGAATTTAAATTGTTTTTAGTATAAGCGCGAATTTTGTACTCCTCCGAAATTTCAATTGGTATCAAAGCGGGTTTTTATTTCAATTACGAAGATCTTGTGGCCTGTGACTTGGCTACCATGAATTATGATGGTGGATCCATGTCCCGACCCCACAGCTTGACGGGTTGAACTATCCCTATTGGAAATCGATAATGACCATCTTTTTGCGTTCATTGGGAATAGGCGTGTGGGAAAGTATTGAGAACGGGTGAAAACATCTGATGATGAAGAGAGCACCAGAGAAAGGCAATTCCGATGGATCTTCTGATGAAGTGCTCAAACCACATGATATATCATCTGATATGGAAAGAATGCAAGAAGAGGCTAACTTTCGAGCCTTATATGTCATTTTCATGGCAATTGATCGGACCCGACACAAGATGATCGTCCAATGCACCACGGAAAAGGACGCATGGCGTGTTTTGGAAGGTCAGTTCAGAGGACTGAATGCGCTAAAATCCTCCAAGCTTCAACGTATAACTTTGGCCATTGATGACATAAGAATGAAAAAAGATGAGACCACCGACAAGTACTACTCGAGGTTTTGTGGCTGCGTGAATCAAAGTGCAATGTTGGGTGAATACGTCTAAGAAACATGACAAGTTCAAAAGATCATGAGGATTCTTCTGGCTCGTTTTCGTGAAAAAATCACTGCGCTTGAAAGTTTCTAATGAGTCAAGCCTTTAGATCTTGACGGCCTTCGTCGTGGCCTTCGAACATTCAAGATCAACAATGATTATGACAAGGTGAAAAATAAGGGATTAGCCTTGAAAGTTGTTGCTTCATATCAAAGTGTAGACAACAATGAGGATGAAGTTCATTGGAAGATGATGTTGAATTTAATGAGGCCTTTGCACAAATTACTAAAAATTATGGTCACATGCGTCAAAAGCTGTACAAGAGCAAATTTCAAAGGAAAAAGCCGACGAATTTAAGCAAGGCTCCTTCGCAAGAGAATCTAACTAACATCTTTGCTTCTAAGATGGAGAACCAAAAAATCGAAAAGGACAAGTGCAGGGAATGCAAAGGTTTTGGGCACTTCCAGTTCGAGTGTGCTAAACTGAAGAAGAAGAAGAACAAATCCCTAACGGCAACTTGGGATGATTCAGATGAAGAGCAGACGGATGAACCAAAATCACATACCAGCAACATGGTCGTCTGTCCACTCAATGATTTTTTCTGCCTTACCTCTACATATAGTCCTTATGGCTCTGAATATGGTAAGAACCTTCCTTATTCTGATAATTATGATTTTGATGGATCTAATAGTTCTACAGATCCGAGCACGTGCACTGGTCCCGTACATTTCTTGGGGATGGAAAATTGCATACAAGCTGCAAAAGTGATGAAAATTTTGTATGCTTAAATTAATTCTCTCAGGATGACGTACATCCGATTGACACAGACAAAGATGTCGAATACCTGAAGAAGGAGCTTCAGAACATGAGCGTGATCAATGGCGCACTTAATGACCAATTGTCCTTGTCTTTCATGCATGAGAACGAGGCTAAACTTCATTCCGCACTTGCACGAACTGTCATCCTGAAGAGTGGGCTGAATTTATCCAAGCAGGAAAGTTCTCTAAAGGATCAGGTCAATGAATATTTAAGAACTAAACTAATTGCTTTGCATAAAACTGCAGGTGATGAATGAACATGTGAACCTGAGGGACCACTTAGCCCAATGCGACCAGAATATGAAGGAAAAACCAGTTGAGCTTGAACGTATATCTCATATTATGAACAAAATAAAGAAGGACAAAGCTGATGTTGACAAACTCTTAGGCATGCACAAGAGCTAATGTTAATATGGTTTTCGGTAAACCAAGTTAGTAATACTCATTGGCGTTCAAATCTCAATAATTAGAAGATTATGTTGTCTCAAAGGATTGACGTGCTCGCAAATCTCAAGTAATAACACGTCGGATGAAAATGTCCCAAGAACCGACGTCTTCATCAAACAAACCGATATCTCATATCGGTTTAAGCATGATAAACCGATATCTATGACATATCAAGCCGACATCATAAGGCGGTGCCAGCTCAGCAAAATCATCATTATGCCTTGACAAGTGGCGTGCTGTGAGGATGAATGGCCATCGACCGCCGTTGACTTTTCCTAAGAAATGATTGTAATCTTAATTTTGTATGGGACTATAAGAAAAAAGGGAGGATCTCCCGAAGAGGGAGGAGGATGATCTATCACATTCAATAAACCCTGTTTTTATCATCTTTTCATAAGTTAAATCTTTTTGAATAATCAACGTAACTTTCGTTAAACACTCTTTGTTGATTCCCATATAACAACAGTTTGGCGCTAGAGGAAGGTCCTCATAAGTTTTTGAGGTTAACTTTCGCTGTTGTAGCCATTATTCGCTCGAATCTCCCATGTCGCAATCTGGTCGAGAACACGCCTCCCATGCAGGCCAAAGCCATGCTACGAATCGTTCCCCAAGGCGTTCAACACTCCCACCTCCGGTCACCAATATTACGAACTTTCTTCAAAACCCAGAGTTTATTCAAGGCTTAACCTCTCTTATAGCTCGAGCTATGCCCAAAAACTCGCACACCGTACCATTATCCACACCTTTCCCCATGAATCCAACAGAACACCCAAATCTTACTCATCATAACCAAGAAACACATCAAGCAGCATCACATGCTACTTCACAACCACGTCATACTTCTCAACATCAAGATGATATGACTCGCATAATTGTTAATCCAGTATTAAATAACCAGACTGCGGATGAGCCTCCTGTTCAAGAAATGACTGCTGAAAGCCACCCCGCTCACCATCATAGAATTCCTTCACGTCCTAGACCCCCCTCACCAATGCCCCGTGATCGTGAAGATTTACGTCATCAAATTGAACGAAATCGTGTGTCAAGACATAGTGCGGAGGAATTAGAGGCTCTCCGTAAAAGATTGGCTCAAATCGAAACTCGACAGAAATCACAAGAAGACTCTCCCCGACATGTCTCGACGTCGGGTAATGTCATCATTGAAGCGGATTCACCCTTGGATCCCGAACTTA